CATTTGTTAGTGGTGGAGTATTATATAAGCATCATCGATTTTAACTTGGCTCCAACACAAATTTTTTGAAAATTTAGGTTGGAAATTTTAGTTTCGTTGATTTGGCTCCATTTTTATGTTTTTAAAAAAATTCAACATTTATTTGATGTTTTATTTGTAGTTATCGTCATCGAAATTGAAGTATTTAATGTTAACAATAATTGAATTTGGGATCAACAATGTTTGACTACTTAAAAAATCAGGAATGTTTGACTAATTAAAGATCCACCGAATCAGTATTTCTAGTGATTTAACAATAAAAGTGAGGTTAAAATAGGTATTATATAAATTTTATTAATTACTGTGCTATTACCTTAAAAATCATTTAAAATGATACAGAGGGAGTATGATTGTTCTCCCAAATCATACTCATTAACAGCACCAATTAATCTGAACACGACAAAATAATGAATCCTTCTATATCATTATTCGAATGCGACAAAATAATTTAAACTGGATTCAAAACTTTCTTAGTTTTCTCGTAAATCATAGACTCATTAACAACATCAACTAATCTGAGCAAGACAAATTAATCCTAGTGACAAAATCATGATATGGATTTCCTCCAATTCATAGATTTGTTAATTGCAACAATTAATCCGAACACGACAAATTAGTTAATTATACCATATCATTATCCGAATCGTTATCCGAATGCGACAAAATAATGTAAGGTAGATTCAAAACTTTATGGTGTCTTCCCAAACCATAAACTCATTATAGACATTAATGAATCACATTTAAAAATTAAAATGACGGCAGTTAATCTAGCGAGCAAATGAAAAAAGAAGAAGTGTTGACATGAAACACACGTGAACCAAACCAGTAAACCAGTAGAAAAAAAAAATGTGAATGCGCCTATGAGTTCGTACCAATAAGACAATTCAATACTAATATATATCAGTACAAAAATTAACCTAGAAATCATCGGAACTTTGACTAATAAAATATGCATAGTATCAATTAATTATAGTAAGAATGAACAATCTACCAAATACCTCCAAATCATACATAGAAACGCCCACTAAGAAAAAGATTTACGTCCCTAAACCGAATTAATATTAAAACGTAAATCTATTTTTGCTTCGTAATTCTCGTGTCAAACCAAGTCAACAAGATTCCGTGGGACCCACCTAACGGAGACAAAAAAAAATGTCTTAAACAGTCGTACTTAGCTTTCCAAACGACCGTTAACAGAATCGTTAACTTATCACGCGCCGTGACTTAAACGTGATATATACGTGGCGTATATCCGTGACGTGTGTTATACACTCTCCTATCTCCGTTAGTTGACGAAACACTCTCGTTTACTAACCGTAACGGAACTAACGGTCCCATCTAATGACGAAAACCACTAGTAACGGAAGTATCTAAACGTCCCAAACACACAGGACCCACCAAAATCGATTACAAAAGGACGCCACGTGTATGGACCAAGGTTCTGACGTGTCATTATTTTTCTTCTCATACGCGCCTCTCACGTGTAAGACCCCACACGTGTGGCTCACTTTGAACCAGAACCATCACGAGCTCACATGCATTGGGTAAGAAGGACCACTAACCACTCAAACCACTCCACGTGTCTCTCTCTCCCTTACTATCTCCTCAATATAAACCTTCCCCCACTCCTACAAGAACCACAAACCGATCAAAACCGAGAAAACAAAGTTCTAATCTTTTTTCTTCTGCAAATTTTCTCGGGAAAACAAAAGAAAAAATGTTTATCGATAGCTTTAAAGTTGAGAGCCCGAACGTGAAGTACACAGAGAATGAGATTCAATCTGTGTATGATTACGAAACTACAGAGGTTGTTCATGAGAAGAACGTCAATGGTACTTATCAATGGATCGTGAAGCCAAAGACTGTCAAATACGAGTTCAAAACCGATACTCGTGTCCCCAAATTAGGGTAAAATCTTACCAAAAGTTTCGATTTTTATTAATCATAATTCAATTTCCTCGGTTTCTCCGTCTTAAAATTTTCCCAATTTACAAAACGTTTCGATTTTTATTGTCGTAATTCAATTTCTTTTCCTTCAAAATTAGGGTTATGCTTGTTGGATGGGGAGGTAACAATGGATCAACACTCACTGCTGGTGTAATCGCTAATAAAGAGTGAGTCTTTGAATCGAATTCGTGTAATAAAGTTTTGATTTTTATTGATTTTGTGTAAGATTGTTTTAGAATCTGTAAAAAAAATGTGAATAAATAAACAGAGGAATCTCATGGGCAACGAAGGATAAAGTGCAACAAGCGAATTACTTTGGTTCACTAACTCAAGCTTCATCGATTCGTGTTGGATCCTTTAATGGTGAAGAGATCTATGCTCCTTTCAAGAGTCTACTTCCAATGGTACGTTTATAAAAAAAAAACCTCATAGCTTTTCAACAAAATATTTTGACTGTT